CACCGACGTTGTAAAGCTCATTTTGGACATGACAACTTGTACTTCTCATTGTTGCAACAGGTCCACCTGTATCCTTAAACAAATGGTTTTTCCCCATCTCCTCCACAAGTTATACTGACATCAAATATAGTGAAAGCAGGGGTTATACTGTGGGGGAGGAACCTACCTACACATAGAAAACCAACAAGACCACAATAAAGGTCAAAAAACTGCACCCAAACTGAGAATCCAAGAACCAGAGGAAGAACCCAGTTTTCGCAGCCCCCAAGAAGGTGGATAACATGCCAGGAACTCCCAAATACCTCTCAGTACTATCTCTTAACATTATCGGTCTGAACTCTCCAATTAAGCGACAGAGACTCTCTAGTTGGATTAAAAAACAAGACCCTTCTATCTGCTGCCTTCAGGAGTCACATCTTGACCATAAAAACAAACACATATTCAATGTTAAAGGCTGGAACAAAATCTACCAAGCAAAACGGCCCCATAAACAGGCGGGAGTTGCAATCCTAATATCAGATAAAATAGACTTCAAAGATAAAGAAGGTCACTACATACTAATTAAGGGATCTCTCCATCAGGAGGATATTACAATTCTAAATATATACTTGCCAAACAATGGAGCACCCAAATTTATCAAAGAAACACTACTTTCCCTCAAATCCCATATAGATCCAAAGACATTAATTGTTGGGGATTTTAACACACCACTCTCCCCACTAGATAGATCAACTCTGCAAAAACTCAACAGAGAAACCTCAGATCTAAACAGCTGCATAGATCAACTAGATTTAATGGATATCTACAGAACATTTCACCCAGCCGCATCAGAATACACGTTTTTCTCAGCGGCACATAGACAACATTTAGGTCACAAAGCAAACTTGTCTAAATTCAGAAACATTGAAGTTATACCTTGCATTCCCTCTGACCACAAGGCAATAAAATTAGAACTCAACACCAAAAGCCACCAAAGAAAGTCCGGTATCACATGGAGGCTGAACAACACAATGCTGAATCACGAGTGGGTCATGGAAGAGATTAGAAAG